ATAATAACATGTAAATATTATATGTTGTAATTACAGTTTGTTTCTTTTTTCTTAATGCCTTAAAAATGACTTAAAGAAATAGTGCCTTAATATAATAAGAGGAAAATGAACGGTGATAAAATCAATAATTATATCAATAAGAAATGCTATGATTGTTGTCACTTCAAAAAAGAAAATATGGAATTGTATAAATTAAACTTACCTAATGGAATAATAAATAATATTATTTATTATGCTTTGGGTAAAGAAGATTTATGTAAAATTTGTAGAAATTGGAGGTTTCATCAACAAATAATTGAAAATCATTTAGATATTAAAATGTTTAATGAAAGAAATGTAGAAGATGACATCTTAATATTTCTAACTGTGTATAAAATACCACCTTATAGTTATGTTAGAGCATTTCTGAAAATCAGTGAGAAAAAGTATGAAATGATAGACCGCATATTATGGATGTTGGTTTATCGTCAAAAGGAAGGAGAAGATGTTAAAGAGAATATCAAATTATTTTTTGAAAGTAAAAAGTTTAATATTCAAAATACATTGAGAGATATTCATATTATTTTTAAAATGATGTATGAAAGAAGTAAGACAAATCAATTAAATTATTATCCTGTACTGAAATTATAATCATAATATAATAATAACATGTAAAATCTTATATGTTATAATTATATTGAACTTATGGTTTGTAAAGATTGAAATATTTTATTTTTCCTAATTTGCTTGACTCTTTCAAAGTGCGTTGTTTAGACTTGGTATGCATCTTCAGTTTTTTCGTGCTTTGGCTGTTTGTTTTTATTTTGTTTGACACTCTTCTGATATGTTTTGTTGGTATGGTGCTTTGAAATTTGTTGATGCGTGTGTTTGAGTTTGGGTTCTTTGATGGTTGTTATTTTTGCTGTTTTGTTGGTATGCTTGTTTGAATTATTTAATGTTGTATGCTGTGAGTAAATATTTTTGTTGCTGGTTGTGATTATTTATTTTGTTTGCTTGTTGTTCTGGATTTTGTTTTCTGTTTGTTGTGTTGCTGATGGAGCAAAAATAGTAAAAGTAGAATTCCTTGAATTCTCCTTTTACTATTTTTTTTTGAGGGGGGGTTAGTTGGAAGTTCTGGGGGGGAGGGGGGTGGGGGGTTGGTTGGAAGTCTTAGCAGTGAGGTGTGACTCAGCCAACTTTGTAAAGACTTCTCAGTACCCCCCCAGTAAAGAGTTCTGACCCCCCCCCTGCCCTTGTTGCAGGGAAACCGTCAAACCCTTGACATGGTTTATAAACTGTCTTGTAAGTTTATAAACTCTTTGCTGTTGTTACTCAACATGACTTGTCACCCACAAAAAAATATGCAGCAACCGCACACTTCTTGCGTATATATCTGGGAAGGGGTGAGCATATATATATATATATATATGGTACCCCCCCCCCCCATGGACCCTGGTTTGGTGCGGTTGACCTTGATTTTCCAGTGTTTTATGCTTCTTTGTGCTTCTTGGATTTGTGTCAAAATTGGGGGGAGGGTCATACATGTATATGATACGCACGCATGCAAACAGATGTGATAAAAGCAATGACATCAGCACCTGCAATCTGAAAGAGTTTGAATGCATCCAAGAATACAAGAACAACTCAGACATTTCTTAAAATTATTTAAAATTCTGGGGTTCAAGATTCAAGATTCAAGAATGTGAGAAAATATTTCCTGGGAATCTTGAATCCCAGAATTTTGAAAGTTTTTAAAAAATTCTGGATTCAAGATTCAAGAATCTGAGAAAATATTTTCTGGGAATCTTGAATCTTGAATCTTGAATCCAATATTTTTAAAAATCCAGGGTTGTCCCAATACTCTCGGTGTTCAATAAGATTCTCGGAAAAGTTATCCGTGAAATAGTTCAATCCAGTGGTAACGGATGTTCGAGGTGATAGAACAACTTGAACATTTTAGGGGTTGACCAGGATGGATGATTCTCAGGAAAGTGGTGGTTTGTGGGCTCCTCAAATTGAATCCCCAATCCAGTGGTAAAGCACTTTCAAGTGTTAGAAGAACTTGAATGCTATTTGGGTTTGGCCAGGATTGACAATTCTCAGGAAAGTGTTCTGTGTAATCTTCAATATTGACTCTTCCATCCGACAGTAGCAAATTTTCAAGTGCTTAGCGATCCAGTGGACACACTTTCAAGTTCTTGGTTAGACAAACTTTCAAGTGCTTTTGGTGAGCTTCAATGCAGCTATGCTCATGTTGACCCCTTTCCAGGAGGTAAACAAAGGCAGGTGCAACGCTCAAAAAATATGTGTTTTCCAGTCTTTTATGAGTGAGGAGGCGCAGGATCATTGGGCGTACTATAATGTGTGTATGTGTATGTATATATAGATATACATATGTATGTACGTTCACACACCGTCCCCCACCCTCTTCAACTACCTGTCCACATATGCTCATCTACTACCTCCACCCTTTGAGATAGAATTCACTTTCCTGCGCAAATAGAACTTTAAATACAACGGTTTAGCTAGAAGCCCTGTTTCGAGATAGTTTTAGATTTTGAACCTCTCTTCACATGAAATTTCCTTTGGAACACCGTCTAACAGCCTCAATGTCGGACCTTTCTTATGCTACAAAAGGGCCAGAATGTAAATAACACAAATCCTATTTTGAATTTCCAAATGTTTAGCCATATTTATTATGAATTATATTTGAGATGTAGTCCCTATATGTCCCTATTCACTTGATATTATCAAAAGCAAATTGAGTTGTGTTCGTCTTAGATTATACTTACCACTTGGATTATATTTGGGAAAAACTTTCATCTAACTTCTTGTGTTATACATTAGTTGGAGTTTAGCCGAATATATATATATATATATTTACATTTTCATGTAGCTGCTATTTGGAAAGGCTTGTTTAAGCTGTAATTGAACATAAACACATTTTTGAAAACTATATCCATACTAAACTATATTCAAAATCCAAATTCTAGTTGAAGTAACATCTTATTTGCAAAGGGTATCATACTGGGACATTGTGGAGGACTCCGGGCTCCAAATTATCACGCTTTGGGGACCCACAACTGGACATTTCGAAAATATAAATTTGGGAGATTCTAGATTCGCCATCCCCAAAAGGCCGTAAAACCAGGGTCCATGGGGGGGGTTGTATATATATATATGGTACCCCCCCCAGTACCCAGGTGTTGTTGCATCATGTATCAAAAACATTGATATTTACAGTGTATTTGATTGAACTCATGCATTTTCAGCAAGGCCATTTTGTGGACCAAAAAACCAAAAAACAAAAACCAGAAACCAAAAAACCAAAAAAACAAGAAACCAATCCTGGCCCCCACCATGGGTGGGATTCTTTGGTTTTTTGGGTTTTGGGTTTTCTTGTTTTTGGTAATTCTAAATGTTGCGCAACATTTGTGGAGCATGATGGGAAGATATGTGAACTTTTGTGAAAGAAGGCATGTTCTGGGTGAGGGGATATGTGAATTTTCTGTAGAGAAGAGTTATTGAAAAGGACATGTTTTGTGTGAGATGATATGTGAGTCTTTGTGGAAGAGTCAGGGTTACAGTGATTCATAAAAGTACAGCAAAAGACAGTAAATATCATGTAAAACCACCATTTATGTAACAAAAACTGTCCCAAGCCATGGCCTGGCTTTATTCTACACAGGGTTCACTTTCCTTGGCAACTCTTTCACATATGCTGCCTTTGTGTCTTTGAAAGAAGACATGTAAAAAGACATGTGTTGGGTGAGAGGATGTGTGAATATTCTGTGGAAGAGTCTTTGAAGGAAGGCATGGTTTGTGTGGGAAGATATGTGAGTTTGTGTGGAAGAGCCTTTGACAAAAGGCATGTTTTGGTGAGAGGATATGTGAACGTTTGTGAAAGAAGACATGTTCTGGGTGAGAGGATGTGTGAATTTTCTGTAGAGAAGAGTTATTGAAAAAGACATGTTTTGTGTGAGATGATATGTGAGTCTTTGTGGAAGAGTCAGGGTTACAGTGATTCATAAAAGTACAGCAAAAGACAGTAAATATCATGCAAAACCACCATTTATGTAACAAAAACTGTCCCAAGCCATAGCCTGGCTTCATTCTACACAGGGTTCACTTTCCTTGGCAACTCTTTCACATATGCTGCCTTTGTGTCATTGAAAGAAGACATGTAAAAAGACATGTGTTGGGTGAGAGGATGTGTGAATATTCTGTGGAAGAGTCTTTGAAGGAAGGCATGGTTTGTGTGGGAAGATATGTGAGTTTGTGTGGAAGAGCCTTTGACAAAAGGCATGTTTTGGTGAGAGGATATGTGAACGTTTGTGAAAGAAGACATGTTCTGGGTGAGAGGATGTGTGAATTTTCTGTAGAGAAGAGTTATTGAAAAAGACATGTTTTGTGTGAGATGATATGTGAGTCTTTGTGGAAGAGTCAGGGTTACAGTGATTCATAAAAGTACAGCAAAAGACAGTAAATATCATGCAAAACCACCATTTATGTAACAAAAACTGTCCCAAGCCATAGCCTGGCTTCATTCTACACAGGGTTCACTTTCCTTGGCAACTCTTTCACATATGCTGCCTTGGTTTCATTGAAAGAAGACATGTAAAAAGACATGTGTTGGGTGAGAGGATGTGTGAATTTTCTGTGGAAGAGTCTTTGAAGCAAGGCATGGTTTGTGTGAGAAGATGTGTGAGTTATCTGTGGAAGAGCCTTTGAAAGAAGGCATGGTTTGTGTGGGAAGATATGTGAATTGAATTTTGTGTGGAAGAGCCATTGAAAAAGGGCATGGGTCACGTCCAAGGCGCCTTTCTTCAATGAGGCAAACCTCCTTCCTCTGGTCTCCCAGTGTGCAAATCTGAGCTGTTCTTCCTGGCTGCTTCCGCGGTCAAAGCACATCTGAACCAAGCCCAAACCTGGGTACCTGAGGGGGGGGGTAGCATATATATATATATATATATGTTATAATATGCACATTTGTTTGTCCCATATCCCATTGTCCCGAGCGCCTCCGAGTTGGCCGCAAAGCGCCGGAAGCTGCCGGGCGCGGTTGCCGCGCGGCGGCTGTGCTCTTGGTCCGTCAACACCCGCAGGTCCAGCGCCACCAGGGAGGACGCGATGCCCAGCACGTGCGACTCAGCGGTGCGAAGTGCTAAGGCCCAACCCAAAATTCGTGTTGTTTTTCTCCCGTCCCTTGTTTGGAGTAGTGCTTCAAGAGCCAAAAATGCGGCACAAGTGAGGATTCCAACAAGTCCTGGCCTGGTACTCTGGCTGGGAGGTGATGGGATTGCCGTACATGGACAACCACTCCAAATTTGGAGGTGAAGCTGCAAGCTCCACATCTTGCCACTTGGCCAGGTGATTCACGTGCAGCAACAGGCTCTTCATGTTCAGCATCCTGGCGGGAAAGCAAAAGCTCAAATTGCTCAAGCCACAAGTTTTTGCTCTGACGGGGGCTCTGCTCTCAAATGATTTTGCAAGTGAAAAGTTGGTCGCTGCACCACTTCGTCGCATTCGCCAAAGCCGTTCATTGGATATGAACATCAGCCAGCGTTTCTCACACACGTACAGGAGCACAAACACACGCACAAACCCAGGCCCACTCATTCCGACCACCCCAGGCAACCAAACCAACCAACCAACAATCAAACACAGGGTGCAAAATTGACTTAGGAATTTTCGGAGAAAATGCCAGACTTCACAGTATCTTCAAGTACATCCAAGGCAACGTGCAACACCCCCAGCCTGACCAGTAACACCCCCAGCATCACAAGCATGCAGGCTTGAACCGGCTTGGAAAGGTTTCGCAGGTTGGTTTCCAGTGGGTTTAGGCCGCTTTGCAGGTGGAAATCAAAACAAATTTACTAAATGGGTTTAGTGTGGGTCCAGGGGTTAGGGAAGCGCCCGGTTGGAGTTAGTGAAGCCGGGCGCGCTTGGAGCGAAGTTGGTGTAGGGCGGGTCTGCGGCACGGTTAGGATAGCTGTATCGCGCGGTTAGGCTTGGGTTCGGGTGAGTTTAAGGTTGGCTTAAGGTTGGTGTACGGCGAGGATAGATAGGGTTGCATAGTGTGTTCAGGCTTGGCTCGGGGTGATTCCTGGCAGGGGCCGGCCGGTTTGGGGTGTTGTTATGTTGGTTTGGTTTCGGGTTGGTTGAAGTTTGCTTAGGCTAGCCTAGGATTGTCCAGGGCGGGCTTAGGGCCTGCGTAGAGAGTGCGTGGGTTTAGGCTTGCGGTGTCGCGTAGGACGGTCGAACCACTAAGTCTGATAGCAAGCCCTCTTTTGCCGTTGGTTGACCCTTGACTGCGACTTAGATCAAAACAGTTCACGGGAAGCCCCGCCCGCATTCAACTCGCCGACTTCGCCAGTCTGAGCCAAATGAAAATCCGGACCCGGACAGCAACCCAGCCTTTGCCAAAGCTCAGGGCCCTCTGGCAAAGCATTCAAGCCTGAAGCCGGAGACCCATAGCCCACACGAGTGGGCTGTGAGGCGTTCAGAGACGATGAGGCCAGAAAGCCACGGTGGTGTCTCAACGTTCACTCAAGGACTGAAAGGGACTGAAAGGAAATTCTTGATTGCAGGTCTGCCAGCTTTTTTTTCTTTTTCTTTTCTTTTTTGGTTTTCAGCTGAAGTCGCAATGGCAACCGAAGTCCGAGAGCGGCACCGCAGTAGCTGGCATCAAGCTTCCACAGGTTGGGCGCCCGTCTCAAGACCTGTGAGGTCGGGCCCCGAGCTCCAACGGAAAAACAACAAATGCATTGACAAATGCATCAATAAGTAACTCAATATGATGTCAGTAAGTAACTCAATATGCATCGATGCTTTGCCGCAGTTTCCATCGTTTTGCCGCAAAGCCGCGAAGACCAAGTCGTGAGTGCTTTCTCACAAACCAATAAACACATGGCCCGAAAGCCAGAACCATGATTGACAGGCCTACGATTCTAAGTTGGAGCAGACTGTGTTTGAAGTGAGCTCTTGCACGACGAACACTTCAGTGGACTTGTTGACTCACTGTTTCAACATGTTCAAAATTGTGCTGGCATCGGCATGTCTGTTGAGCTGGGTTATATTGAGCATGGAGCTCCAGGCTGTGTGAGCCACCTTGTACTTTCAACATTAGTCATTTTGATCGTGGAACATCTCTGCATCTCCTTAACTCTCCTCAAATTAAATGGGGCTGGCAACAGGTCAAGTTCACCGCCTCCGCCAGGTCTTCAGTGACCAGGGGCTGGCCCGACACGAGCAGCACCTCACGAGCAGCGCCTTTCGCTTTTGGGGTTGCCTCATGCGCCTCTCGCTCTCGCTCTCGTCTCTTACTCTCCTCTTTCCGCGCTCTCCTCTTACCTCTTTCCGGCCATGTCCGGCCCGTTGTGCACTCGAAGCCTTTGCCCGCCTTGAGGCACTCGAAGCGTGGCTCGCGGGTAAAGCGGCCGCTGGACAAGTCAAGTGCCTGGTCGAAATGCAGCCCGAAGCTGTCAGTCTCAGAAAGCCGAACTGAGCATGACGCTTGTGGAGCATCTCTCTCTGGGTCCTACAATGCATTGCATGGCCCTCGCCACGGCCGTTGGACCCGCCTCCTTGCGTGCCATGGCATAAGCTGGGCCCGAAGATGCCCTCTTAGATAAGAGAATGGCCGGTGTCAAATCAAAAGCTGGCCGCGCCATCCAGTCATGTCTCAGGCAATACAATGGAGGTTCGTGGCCTGTGGCTCTGCTTGGCGAATTCAATGTGGCAAACTTTGGCCGCCTAATGGCCCAGCTCATGTAACTAGCCCCATGCATGGAGGGCCTTTGGGCCAACTTTAGGCCGGAATTCGTTTCAACCCGAGCTCCAAACTGCACAGCTGAAAGACGCTCCACTTTTTGAAGCGTCGCTTTGCCTGCTGGGCTTCTGAGCGGAAGCACCTAGTGCTCGTTGCGGCTATCTGGGCATCTTGGCCCAACGCACGCAAAGCCCAAGAAATCCGAAAAGGCGCTACGAGTCGCGGCCTTGGCTTTCTGTTCTCCAGCTTCGCTGTGGACAGCGGCCCAATGCAACAGCCACAAGCAGCTCATGGGTGTTCGGGCGAAAATCATGCGGCCAAAGCCATCGCGTGCGCATCTCTTGCGTCCCAGTATGATTACAGTCGATTACATTCTGCTTGGGATGCGAGAGACGTGCACCGACGGCAAAGACGGCCTGAAAAACCGTGGCGTCCAACCTCAGCTGCTTCGGTATCGACGTGCCAGCATCAGGTTGGCCGACAAAAAAAGCACAAGCGTTGACCGAGGCTCCATACCTCTTAAAGATTTAGGCGCCCTCCTTGGCCTGAGCAGATCTCCCAGCGATCTCCCAGCCCGATGAGGGAACTCCCCCGTGCTCTGAGACAGCCTCTTGCCGGCTGTCAACACAAGAAGGCTTTTGCAGGATCTCGTCGAGCCTCCTCCTTGAATCTCTGCATGATGTTCTCATCAACCTGGAGGGCTCAGGCGCTTAGCACCATCCGTTGGCCCTCGGCGCACCCATGGTGCCATGGCCAAGGCGGCACCAAAGCGCAGCGGCAGCAACAGCCGGGCCTCAGGCCCATCGATGCAAACTCGAACGATGCAAAGCGGCCGCACGCCGAGCGAACTGCGAACGCACAGAGCCGCAAATCGTTCGAATCGTAAGTCATTTCATGAATCGTAAGTCACACCCGTCTTTGCCTCAGCTCCAAGCAATGTTAGAGGCTGCAAAGACCAGGCCAAAGACAGCTGCGCTTTCCTCAGTTGTACAGCACACATGTATCATGCCGGCTGCTTTTTGAACTGGCTGTCCTCCGGCTTGCTGAAGTCCGGCCAGTGACCGGCAGTGTTCAGATACACAATGCACCTCAAGCTACAAGAAATTCATGGAGACTCTGACAGAGGGAACGGAGGGGAGCAGCACTTGAAGCACTTGCTTTCTTCTTTCCTTCCTTCTTTTCCTTCCCCCCAACGCCCGGCTTCAAGAAGGAATGGCGCCGCGCTTGCCCACGGGAAAGCGGGTCTCAGGCACAAGCTCCGTAGGGAAGGCAATGGCCCAGAAGAGAAGCTCGGTGATGACGTAGGAGAGGGTACCTGCCTCAGCCGTCGCGCTTGCAACTTGAATCGCCCTTATTTTGCTCACTTTGGGGCAGCGGCAGCGCCGTACTTCTTGACGTCATCCATTGAGATGTTGCCGTAGGTGTCAGGCTCCTGTGCAGGGACCAGCCCTAAGACACTTCCCACAGGCCCGCCACCCTTCCCGGTCCCAAACGTTGAACGGCTTCTTCTCTTCCTTCGGAGACTCCTCCACAGAAGGCGGGAGAACTTGCGGGGCCTACTTTGAACTGTCTGCCTCTGCCCGCAGGGCTGTGCGGCCGGCGACGGTAAGGCCCGCAGCAGCCCAAAGACCAACCTTGGAAGGACTTCGGAGAGCGCACACTCCGAACTCGATGAATTCGAGCGAAATCGGCGGGCCGAGAACTGGGAAGCCCGACCAGGGCACTAGCACTGATGCCGATCTCACCTTCATCCTGGACTGGCCTGAACCTAGCATGTCGGCTTGTCCCCTGTCGGCCAGTGCCACAGCCAATGTGACTCAACTGAGCCACGGGCGCCGCGGGCTCCGAACGCACCGCGGCGCTGTGAGCGGCGCTCGGAGAGGCGCGAGGGGCCACGAAGGCCTCTCCGAACACACCGTGCGCACTGAACTTCACGCGTCCGGCGCGTTGGGTGCGGCCTGCACGGCGAACAGCGCGGCGCACAGCACAGCCACTGCCACGGGGCTGCGAGAGCCTGGGTTGGCATCTCTAGGGAACTCACAATCCGCCGACGCCAGTCGAGCGTGTACTTGCTTCCTTTGGAATTGTCTTTTCAAGCTGAAGGCTTTTGGGGAGACTCTTTCCAGGCAACATTTGCCGGTGTCCACAACCCTGTAATTGTCCAACGTGTCGGGCCTTTGGATGCTAACGCGCGTTTTGTCCAAGTCTCCGTGCCTACGGTGGTAAGAATCTGCATTCCCAGCATCATCGGCCGTGTTGGCGGCATGACTTTTGTGGTTGCTTTTGCGGATAATACGTGCTTTGCGAAACTGCAAAACATCCCAGCATTATTGTGCTTTTGGAAGTCTGTTGTTGCGCGCTTCGAAGTCTGTATGTCGGAAACTTGAAGGGGGTTGCTGTCATCCCTTTTTGATGGTTGATTTTGGAAAGCATTGAGAAACACATTTTTTTGAGCAAGCTGCATCACCAGCATTGCCTGCATTATCAGAATTCCCTGCCCATCTCTAGCATGCAGTTCGGTTCTCACGTCCAAAATTCAGACACTACCTGGCCCACCTACCTACCTACTTACCCCTAAGCACCCTTATGGGTAGGTGTATTGCTTCTTGGCTTGGCGCTGTTTCATATCGTATCAAATCCTCGGCGTCGCCGGGCTTTTGGAACGCAAGGCCTTCGAAGACTGAGGTCTAGCTTCGGCAAAGACTGGAGGTTGATCTGCTTAAGAAAACAGAAAAACCAAATGGACACCATGGGGAAGCCATCTTGGAAACCAAATTGAAACTATAAAGAAGCCACAAAAAAACAAAAGGACAATCTGATCCTATGTATGCAAGGGTATGGTCTTCACGGGAAACGAAAAGGCAGAACGGAACCCAGGCACAAAGTTTCCAAGCTAGATCTGATTGAGTTCGAAGACGGCTTCCCCCAAATCCGAAGTCCAATTTTCCATACAGCGCAGCAGGCTGGCGCAAGCGAGATCCACAACATAGACAAGGCAGTCGTCACAGCACAAAATGGCTGAGATCGCAGCGGAGAACCACCATGGCCTGAGCAAAGCAGGGAAACACCGGCAAATGATCAGAACCCAGCACATCCCAGCAATCCCGAAGCCTGGGAAACATGAAGTTGCGCGTGCAATCGCATGAAGCTCAGGCCAGCGCACCAAGGTTGCTTGGCTTCAGGATGGCTGGGGAAGGCTGTTGAGTGCAGCAAGGTGGCAATGTGCATTTGAGATTTTAAAAGTCCTATTCAAGCTTAGATCATATCTTTCTCCCACAAGCACTAAAGTAGCGCACGCTATCACCCACGCAGTTGGCTTTCCGTTTCCGTCCAACGCGTGCCTGTGCGGAAACGTGCGTCTGCAACCAACAGGTCCTTGGATGTCCCTGATGTGTCTTGTGTTAGGACATCAAACCAACACGTTCTGGGAGATCCTTGCAACCCAATCGGCTAAGCCGTTTGCATGCCACGCACATCTGCATCTCATGTCTTTTTCCTGCCAGGCCCCTCTGCTCCCAAAAGCTGGCACTGGGCTTACCAGGACTCAGGGTCTCGTAGAACCAATCCGCCAAAGACAAAACCAATATCTGCATTGCCAATCCAATGGCCACACTCCACTGGGCATCTGGGCGACTGGGCGACTGGGCGCAGGAACCTTTCGCGACCCGGCCCACATTATGTACATCCAGTGGGTTTGATTTGACCTTGAGCTCGCAATTCGAGTCCGAAGCAAATGAATCGCTTGCTCAGCCCTCTTTGTAGGAGAGCGGCACCTCATTTCAGTGCAAGCCCAAGGCGCCGGATTCAAAACAGCCTGGGCTGCCAAGCTAACAGGACTCCGTTCTTCTCCTTCTTGTCGTAGAACCATCTCCCAAACTTGTGTTCCTCACGCTTGAGTCATTGCAACCGACGAGTCTCGAGGCATCATGACACATCGAGCTGCGTCCTTGCCCACCGCACAAGCGAGGAAGCGCTTCCCCACAGCGATGTGGTTGATGCACCCAGGTGCAGATATGGACCTTGGGTCGCGACGACAAGGCAGCTTAGAGACTTACTTAGAGATGTCAATCGGCGTGCGGACGATGCCGGACGTGCCCGGATTGGGCCGCCGGCTCCGCAGCTTCGGTCAGCTGAAGGCCTTTCCTTTCCTCCTCGCGGCTAAAGCGCCAGCACCGCAGCCTCAAGCTCCAGGCTCGAAATCACTCGAATCCCTTGACGCTGCTCCGCTCTTTTTTGGGTACGGCACGTGCCGTCCACGGACCCAGAGAAGAAGACGTTGCCCTGCTTGATGGCCTCCGAGCAAAACACCCTCTCCCCGAAAAAGTGCTCTGTGACTGGAGTCAATGGAGGCGTGAAGCTCGAGGCGCGAATCAAAGGTGTCTTTGGATATCCAAGGAAAGCCCTCGTTTGAAGGGAGAACGAACACCTTGAAAAAGGATAACTACTTGCGGTTGAGCATGCTGAAGCATGCAGTGAAACTTTAGAACATGGGGGAAGTGTGGCCTAGCACGGCAAATTTCCTCCGAAGCTTCAGGATCAAAAAAGGCTCCAGCAGATGCTTAGGCTGTGCCGGTGCACAATTGGTGTCTACAGGCACTGGCGCACCTGCTGGCACGTCAGGGTCCTTTGCATTTCTTGGCGCACGCTTCGAAGGGCTCCGGCCAAGCAACCGAGAAGCTGGCCCTAAGGAATACGCATCCGAGCTGGGCCGAGGGCCCAGGAAGATCCAGGAAGCATGGGGAAGGAAGGTGGCGAGGCCCAAGGCCACGGCCGAAAGAGCAGCAACCCACTTGCCCTCTCCTGTGGCCAAGGCGGAGTCAAGCCCTCAGTTCGGCCCTCAGTTCGGCCCGTCCTTGAGAACTCACGCTGGCCAAAGGCTTCTTTGAAGCGCTTGACCACAGCATGATCCTTCCATCCTGGCACACGGAATTGATGGACTCATAATGACTCGTGCCGGTGTAGCACGCCCCGTTGCAGCCCGGCCTGTCCACCAGACACAAAGCGATCCTGGTCTGCCACGCAGACGGCATCTACCGAGTAGGTGTGCCTGGCCATGGATTAAAGTGAATTCCAACATGACCTATCGGGCCAGCCTCGCGAACATCAGGTGCGTGCCCTTGTCGACCTGCCCAACCCCAAGACAGATTGAACCACGGCGTTTCGGGTGGGGGGCAGCGGTACCAGCCTGTGATCCGGGCCTTTTGCTTCTCCCCACACGTTCTTCGCGCTGAACAATTTGTTTACGATTATTTTGCGCTTTGAGAGCGCGACATGCATGCTTCGGGGAGATCAAGATGAGTCATCTGACTGTGAGGTGAATGTTGCCTTGTTTAGGATTAGCAGTTCCAACTGCACGTGCGAGCGCTTGCTCTCGTGATGTTGCACAAGTCTTGTGACTGCACTGGCCGCGGACCGACACAGCTCACGCCTCGTGATCAAAACTGGCAGCGCGCCTTCCAGAAGCGGACGGTCTTGTCAGCTCCGCCGCTCAGCGGCCGCCCCCTCAGTCCGAAGAGTCTGACAAATGCTTTGAACTTTCATGAACTTTCCGAGGCGTCTGCTTGTTGAGAAGGTCCATGGAGGTCACAGGACCCACATGGCCCAGCAAGGTCTCCATGCACCTCAGCTCGGTCGCTGAATGCCAAAGCACAAGCTGCAATTAGACAATGCGGCTTGCGTTTCTTTTGTCGACGCAATACCCCGGGTTGCGCTTCAACAATTGAAACGAAATCCCGCTTGAACATGCTTGCTCCACGCCTCCGAGACGCAACATCCCAAATCTTCAGGGACTTGTCAGCTGAGCCGGAGTAGAACTGAGCAGGATTGGAGTCGCCGACGTGCACGCGTGCAAGTTTGCTTCATGCCTTGCACAGACCGAAGTTTGAAGCAGACCCTCCCGTATCGTCCGTATCGTCCGCATCATCCGTACCCGTATCATCCGTATCCGGGTCGAGCGCTTCGCATGTCTCCGAGGCGGCGACCTGCTCCTCATCCATGTCAGGCACCAATGCGGTGGTATCTCCCGTGTGGCCATGCCTCAGCCCCACGTGGTACACACGGTCGCATACGGTACTCGTGCGTGTCAACATCGAGCTGTTCTTTCTTAGCGCCCTGCAGTGCGGCCACACAGCCTCAAGTGCACGGAAACATGGAACAGCTGCAAAGAGCGTCCGCAAAATTGTGGGCACGGACGCACCTCGCAAGAACACTGGCACCTCAATTTTTCCCCTCTCGGCGTGATGGGACCACTTGGTGCAAGTGCTCACCTCCCGTTGAGAGAAGTGAGGCGAATCGCCTCTTGCACAGCGCGCCTCGTTTGCCCCAGTGCATTGTGCATATGCAAAATGTGCGAGTAGAAACTTCAGTGGGGAACAAGGTGCCCCTGGCACGCGGTCCCCGATTCAGGACTGTCACGTGCCCAACATTCCGTGGACTTTGAAATGTCTGCGGATGGCGCATTCGCCACAGGCGACCCGGCCTTGGCCCATGCTTTGTACATTGAAATGAACCTCTCAAAGATCCTCAAAGAACGCATCGATGTCCTCCGGCGCAAAAACCTGGGTTGCAAAGGTTGGGACAGTGACCTTTCTTTGCAACAGTGACCTTTCCCCTGACACTGAATTCTGTCTGCCTTCTACAGCTTGAATGCCAAGTGTCTGCGACACGGCTAGGAGATCTGCGACTGGGCGGTACCTCGAGATATCGGCGCCGCAAATCCGGGTTGGCCATTCTCTTTTGCTGGCGGCGCCTCCACAACAGCATCATCGTCTGCTGAAAGGTCGAAGAACTGAGCGCCCTCCTGGCCAGCGTCCCGCGCCACAGCCAAAACGCGCCGAAGCCCAGCCAACTCTCCAACTGAAACGTCTGGGATCGTCTGGGATCGTCTGGGGCTGCTGCCGGGGCTGCCGGCTTCGGCCTCAGAAACGAAGTAAGTAGCGTTAGTAGAGCTGCGTCTCCAAGGGCTCACTGCAGCCATGCCACCCCTGCGCGGCGGCGGCAGCCGAGGACCCCTCCTCTGCCTCCTGAAGCTAGACACTCGATGTGTTTATCAAGAGAGGCTTGGGGCATGCGAACATGCTGCATCTTGGAGAAACGCCTCTTCATGCCTACCCGATTTGATACTCCCTGTGGCTGATCGGCCCGCATCGGCCCGCACAACCAGAACAGAGAACCTTGGTGTGCCAGCACTCTCTCCTGCACAGGCTCAATGTTCTCCACAAACACGTCCACTGCACAGCCTCGAGCACTCTCTACCGCCCGTCACGAAAGCCTCGCTATCCTCGCTATCATTCAGAAAGCCAAACGAACACGACGAACACGCCAGTCTTGCCCCGATCGCGTCGGAGTCAAACTTCGAGGCCTTCGGGCAGTGCCCCGCGTTCCCTGCCGTCCAGCTCCATGGCCGGGAACCGGGAGAGGCCACCAGCCAGGGCCACCAGGGCCGTGTGGAAGCAGACCTCGGACGAGAAACGCGGCGAAGCTTCGACTTGCGTTGGGCGAATCGTACCCAGAAACATCAGCCTGTCAAACTCAAGGGCTGGCAAGGTGGAAGCCGAATGATACATTGCTGAATAATTATCCTGACGTGGTTGGTTGTTGGGCCATACTATTTCACACAGCCTGTCAGTATGAATCATGGCGTTTGGATGGTAAAGCCTCTCAAAGGTTCTCCCGCCGATTGTTGGACACACTATCTAGCCATCATTTATACGTGTATAATTCCTGCTGCATCCGGATGAATACATCGAAGAACCATTTTCAACTCTTGGTCTTGAAACCTGAACACGTGGCCCCTTTTCTGTTTGCATGTTTCTGCCTCCAACGATCCGGACTCGTCAACTTTGAAGGCGAAGTGCCTGAAACTCAAGCTCCCAGTCACCCACAGCGCCATCATCCACCTGCGGCCGACCCAGCCAGAGCGCGATTCAGGGTCTCCCGGCGTTCTCCAATGTGCTGCAGCATGGGATCGATAGTACCCTAGTAGCTTGAAGCACCTTGACCCCTGGCCCGCCTGCGTTCGTCTTGTTACCAATCGGACGGAAAGGTCGCCGCAAGCGGAGCTGGTGATGTGGATGGCGGAGGTGTGACAAACATCATCATCCTCGCCTCAAAGGCAAACAAAGTCGCGAAAGTCACGGTGCTGTCTCCATTTGTGGACATGACTCGTATGTCACAACTCCCAACTCATCATGCGCTCGGGTGGATGTCGCCACAAGAGCAAGCGACTTACGTTGGTGCGGAAGATGAGGATATCCTGCTTCCACACTTCTAGTGCCCGTTCTCGATCTTCCGAGCCCACGTGTATCAGCACCTCAAGCCAGTGGCAAGAGTGGGACACCCGCTCTGCAACCCGTCTCTGATTCCAGCTTTCCTGCGACCCCTGTGCGCCCTTGTCTTCTGTCAAGGCATCCCAAGAATCACCTTTGCATTTTTGGCCTTGTCTCGGCAGGCTGTTGAACAAACACCGGCTGTGTACGCTCATATGCAGCCTTCTGCCCAGTCAACTCTGCAGCTGAAAAGCCGTCAAATTCGTGCAAAATGGGACCTGGACGAAACCCCTACGCCTGCCAAGCCAAGCCAGCCGAGAGGGTGTTACAAGTGTTTGGGCCGAACATTTCAGCGGAAAAAGCTTCAGCTAGGCTCCCAGCTTCGGTCAAACTACGTGCTGGTTCGCAGGTGCAAATCATCAGCTTGTGCTTCACAATTTACGACAGCAACGCTGCAAACACAAAAACACTGCTGCCTTCACACCTTCACACGCCCTGCACTATCCTGGCTGCGCCAAGGCCGGCAACGCGAAGCGTCCAACGTGGCTATTCGGCTCTCCTGGTCCAACTTGCTCCCTGCTCCACTCCACGCAGCCAGGGGGCAACACGTGCAAGACGAGCTGGATGGGACCAGAGGTCCAGCTTGCCACGCTGCAGAAGCTCAAAGTAGCCTGAGCTCAGGCAACGAGAACTGAGGCTTCTGGGCACTCGAGCTTCGGTTTTGGTCCGAGGGGCTAAGATATCTGAGCTGTGACGGGCAAAGGCTCTTGGAGATGCCCATTCGCCTTGCACGGTTGACACGCCAAACCCGCACAAAGATGCCGAGCCAATCCAACCCGCCTGCAGACCTCCAGCATCGCCTCCTTGGGGTGGTCCGCCTTACCGACCCAGCTGAGGTAGCAAGCGAATATCAGCACCACAGGGTAGGCACCTGCGACTGAGCCAGCACCCATCCTCTCGGCTTTCACATGCTTTGCATCGGCCTGGACCGAAGTGATCGGTGCTGGAGCCCGTTCCCGCGTCCTTGCATGTGCTCATGCCTTGCATCCCAGAAAGGCCTCCCCCCAAAAGAAAAAAAGAAGAAAACAAAGAGAACGGAAAGGAGAAAGAGAGAAAAGAAGAAGAGAGACAAAGAGAAAGAGAGAGAGAGAGAGATTTGTCCAAATGCCAAGGGTCGGCACCATGCGCCACGACCACGTTCTTTGTTGCCCGCGACAGCCACTGATGCACCGAGACGATGAGGCGCAACCTCGTGGCATCCAGTTCGATGAACTGAACTGGTAACTGCCCGTGCACCGGACTGAGGAGAGCACAACACCTCCAAGGGAAGTACGCAGCCGGACATCACGACGTCCATCACGGGGCCTTGAGAAATCGTGCGCATTTCAGAATTTCAACGTGCCACGTACGGCCACGCGGATCGCGCCTTGCAGCTCGCAGGTGTCATAGATCGCCCCCGAGAGGTTCAGAATCAGGTAGCTGCCCTGGTGGTCGCGGTTCAGCCGTGCCGCCAACCTCAGGCCGAGATTAGCTCATCGGATTCGCCTGCGAATACCTCTGAGCCGAGCGGCCAATGCTGGCGCGGCCGAGTTGGAAAATCCGTAGCCATGAGGTTGGGCCGCACCAAAGACAAACGGCAGCTGTAGTCATCGAAGGTGAACTGCCATTCCTGCATCTGCAAGCTGGACATGTCGAACACTCGTCACCTTCAACATCCTTGAAACCTGTTGAAACCTGTTTGCCATGAGTACTTGCACCATATTATCGACCCTGACCATACGAGTCTCCTTCTGAATCGCCTCGGCTGCTTCTTTCGCAGCAACTTTAACGGCAATGACAGCATTCCGTAGACTCCCCGACATACGGCACGCAAAGTGTTTGCTTGTGCGTGTGTCACTGCCCTGTTCTGCACTGCTTAGAAAGATTGTGCTGCTCAAGTGTCCTAGCTCAATGTCGCGGGCGCCAGCCATTGCTCCGATTCATGGTTCATGTGTTTTGTTCTTGCGTGTCTGTCTCTTCCATAAAGTGTTTGAAGCTGTGCAAACAGCAGCGGGACGTGAACTTATTTCGCTCAAGGTTTCACAAGGGAGAAAGTTGTCAACTCGGCTTGCCGAGTGGCTACTCTTGGCAGGTGCTCTGGGGTCCCAGAGCCGTACCTTGCGATCTGAGACCCGGGTGAGACACCCGTGACATCCGCCTCTCTCTCAGACTCTCTCTCTCTCTCCTGAGCCGGGCGCCAAGCGGTCCACGCCCGCAGAGACCAGCAAGCCCCGCTGCTCCAACAAGCAGAGGCTCAAGACCTTCTCGAAGTGGGCGCCGCACTCGAACTTGTTGCGGCCGCCCGGATACACATCCTCGGAGAGCAAACGTGAAGAATTGAAGGGTCGGATTTTGTTGCTCCTTCTTGCCAGTCTCCACGTCCCATCTGATGACCGCGCAGTCTTTGCCGCCGGTGTACATGGTGCCTCCAAAACTGCTCAAGCAAGCGGGTGCTGCCTTGCTGCCTCCCCTGCCATCCACCACCCTGGCAGCTTTTGCAAGCCCCAACGCAACAAGATCCAACCCAGACACCAGTCCACGGCCCAAGTGTGCAGTGTGCCTTCATCAGAGCTCAAACAAACACTGGTCACCGCCATCTTGTGCCTGGCCAACATCTGCAACACCAACTCCTTTCTTGTGCTCAAAGTCATGGAGCCAGGCGGACCCCCGCAAGAAGCGTGGCTCACCCAGGCTCAAGTCCGTGACCTGCCGCAGTCAAGGTCAAGTTTCCCTGAATCAATGCTGGCTTCTGGCACGTCTCCGGTCTCTGGTCTCTAGCCACCGGCCTGCAGCTTGTTCTTCTTCTGCTTCACCAGCTGCTCCTCACCAGAGCAGAGCTCTTCTTTATGAAAATTCCAGTGACGCTTCGCACGCCTACACCGGCGCCGACGCCAGGTGCAAATGCCAAGCGGAACGGCCTACGAGATACGCGTCAGCATGAAAGCGCCTATGCCCGCCCTGCGCGATTGGAGTGTTGCATTCAAAGTGTTTCATTGCAGGCACGCTGAAGCCCGCTTTTCGTTGCAAAGTCTCCTGAGTCACCGGAGTCCACCGGTTCCTTCACTATCCTCTGACACCTTGTGACCATGTCTTTAGGCGTGTGAGCGAAAGGGGTATACGAAGCCTACGCGGCCTACGGACAAACCGGCCGAGATTCTCAAACTCTGCTATCTCAGCGTCACTAAGCCAAACGAGCGGTTCCATTAGACAACTTTCAAGGAAGAAAACAAATTATGAATGCCCTTGCTGGTTGACTGCTTGCTTCCCTCTGTCCAGAGCCTACGCAGCGCCTACGCCAAAAACTGCCCAGCAGTCTGTCAGAAATTGGCTACGAACGCGTGCAATGATCTGCCTACGCAGGGCCTCACATGTCCAGTCTCCAAGAATCCTTTTGCCCCTCTTCTCAAAGACATATTGTTTGGGGTACATGCGCTCTGCCGCTGGACGGCTCCTGCACCTGCTCTGAGGTCCGGGAATCACCGATGCTGGTGAGGTACTCCTCTGCACATGCTCTGAGCTTCGTTTGCGTCGCAACGAATCGCGCACGAATTCGCATCTGCTAGGCGGGCCTTGGCCAGCCTCACGCGCTTCTCGTCAGGCGTCTCAAAGAAGTCATCCTCCTTGCCCAACGGCTAGCAACACTCAAGACGAAATCCGCGCCGTGCTTGACACGAGACATCAGTAATTAGGTTTTTTAATCCCGCGACCTTGGAACCAACAACAAACTCGAGACTCCTCTTCCTGCGCTGCACCCTGGCAGGTGCAACCCCGGTGCCCACACCGTGCCATGCTTCAAAATATTTTAAGCATGCGGAGTCTTCTGTGCACACGCTCTCGAAAGCCGGCTCCACACGTACTCTCTCGAGAAGACAAAAGTGCCAGCAAAGACCAAAGATTGTTTGCCAGTACTGATGGAGACTCCGACCACCCGCGTTGCGTTCGCTTAACAAGGGCCAAAAATACCCAGCGCCTCCGATCCCTCGTTGTCCGAAGACAGGTTGCCCTGTGCTTCGGCTAAGGCATCGTCTTTGGCACGACGCCTTAACCCGCGAACCAGCGAATCGATGGAAGCCGTGGTGCGTCCAGCTCACCATATTCAGGCACGGACAAGAAACGTGAAAACACCCTCATCTAATTCAAGGAGGTTGCTGCGCTCTGTCCCAGCAACAAGGGGGCACTTGAAGCGTTTTTGGGTCTCCAAATCGTGGACCTGCGAAGCAGGGTTCAGGGTGCGAGGCTCAACCACAAAATATCCACAGACTCCATCTGGCTCCATGCCCGCTCCATGCTCCAGCTGGGAGCGGCACAAAGCGCCAGGCTTCTGGCCCTTTGCCTTTCGATTCACATCGATGGTGTCAGACAGCGTCAGCCAAGCTTTCGAACACGCCGAAGCCGCCCCTTTTTTTGAGTGCCACGGTGGCTGGCCGCATCGCCCTGTGGGATGCCGGAACCACGTTCACCCCGCCTGCACTGCCTGAGGTGCTGAAAATAACTCCTCTTGTTGAAATGGGGAACTCTGAGTTCAACCAAGGCCGGCATCCCAGGCCATTCTTCAAATTGGTCTGTCAGGGAGTCATGGCCAGCTTGAACCTCGGCTGTCAAGCGGGTTCTGGAACTGGAACGCCCTCTTCAAAGATGACCCCAACTGTTGGACTCATGAGCTCTGCAGTCAGTGCTTAATAACTTTTCATTAGCTGTCCAAGTCATCAGCTGCGACCTGCCAAGGCCAAACACGGCTGCGAGTAACAAGCAGCCTGGCGCAAAAGTGGATGCCGCAGTTCACCGGCACTTGTTGTGTCCTCAGGAAAGCCCGCTGAGTCGCATCAAAACGGCAAATGGGCTCGAAGTCCCCAGCCCCGTGCCTTTTGAGGCAGTCATCCTTTTCAGGAGCTCTGGCCCAACGGTGAACTGCGGCTTGGCAGCCTGGAGCTCTCGTGCCACGGATCCCCGGGGCAAACAACCCTCCATGTGTTTCAATATTATCCTACAAGCAGAAGAAACCTTGTCCGGCTGCTAGACAAGGCGACCGAGACCCGCTTTGAAACGGAAGAAAAGCAGCCAAGCCTCCTGCCGCAGACAAGCAAGCTTTATGCAATTAGGCCGTGTTAATGAAGGCAGAAGGGACACAAACGCGCACGCATGCACGCATGCACACGCGCCGACACACCGACACAAAGGCTCACCCTGCGACAAGGTACAAACAACAAACACCAAACGACCACATTGATTCGATGGAAGTCCACTGAACCCTACCCCTTCTACGGACTTCTACGTTCATCTCCAGTCGATGCTTCGCACTCCTTCACTGTGAGCAAACGTCGCCTTGAGACTCTCGTAGAGATGCCAGGCATCCCTAGAGCCCAAGGCTTCGAGCACTTCCACGGCCAAGGCCTGGCTCAGTTTAAGACACCTATTCAAATTCAAAAGCCTTGGCTCATCTTGGCTCATGCAGTTCATGCCCCACACTAAGTTCATTGCCAAGTGGACGTCTGAAGAACAGCTGTCAACGCGGCATGACCATACTAGTTGGAGTGCACCTCTTGAAATCAAGCACGTCCCGGCAACTTCTCCGTTTCAGCTGTAAAACATATCATCCCGCACATGTTTGACCCTATTGGCCTCGTCCACATCTTGCGTCGCACGATGCTGCAAGACCTCCTGGCCGCTTGCCAATCTGCGCGAAACATCCGAGACGCTCCGATCGATTCGATCTCCTCAGAGCTGTGCAGCCCCAGCAGCGAGCGAAGCAGCTCCGCAGCGAGCTCGGCCTGACCCCGAGCGGATGCTGAATCAGTAGATGCTGAGAATCGTAGCGCAAATAGAACCCGTAAAATGAAAGATAGTGAAAGCAAGCCAATCGGGACCCAAAGATGCAGGGCCGTGGCCTTGCCGGTCGTCAGGAGACCACGGATGATTGTCTGGCAAATCCTTAGAGTAGCGCGCCAAAGCTGAGAGCCAATCCGGTTCCTCTCGGCGTGGACGGCCAATAGCATCTTGTCCGAGAGGCTTCTTGTCAGCTGACAGGCGGTCCTGCGGGCGCTTCACTCAGAATACAGAATGAAATTCACCCTGGACAAGTGCAAGTCCTTGTGAGTCTTCAGGTAGAAGCGTGCGCCGCGCTCGTATGCTCGGCAGGAGATGCATGCCTGAGAGGAAGTCATACTTGCAAGCCCCACAGGTCCCACAGGCCATGAAAAAAGAGAAATACATCCGCAGAGGCCGCAGATCAGGGTTTCCCAGGGCCCCTTTCCCGCACCTGCAGAAGGGCGCTCTGCAGCTGCGCACCCAGACGGAAGCGAAACCGCACGGAGGCGTTCTCCGCCATCCTTGGACGTGATCCGATGAACTTTCCACCTCCAAAACCACATCAAGTCAGTATTTTTACCTTGGACACAACCGTCTGTGAGGCCATCGCAAGCCTTCTGGAAGCAAAAATGCGGAATGTGCCCGAAAGCATGGCACTTATCGAGTGCTCTACGACCTCTCAGAGAGCCTCTGGAGCTTCAGTTGCCTCCAGTCTGCCGAGGGTCTTGAAGGCCTTGTCCAGCCTCTTGGCGCTGGCCAGAAGCCTTGCCAGACAAATATGGCCATGGGTCAGAACCCCGTACCCCCAGTGAACATCCCAATCCCCACAAATAGAAAATGGGTGGTGCACCTACCCCAAACTGGTACCATTGGCTGTGACCAGCCATATGGACCAATGCATGCCGTTGCTCTGCATGATGCACTCGCATTTTAAGTTTGATTGCTGCCAGGGCGCTTCACCAGCACGCTGAGGGTGTAGATGCTGGGCGCGAGGCCCTGTGCCATCATGGCTTCCAACAGCTGCTCTCCTCAAGGTGGGCCCAAGGAAGGTGTGCTATCTGTGCCACATGCCATTTGAATCGGATTCAATCCACAAACAAAACGGCCCAACTGCCATTCCCCCACCATTTGAACACTCTCCCTCCTTCATCCGCCAGGCCGGCTTGAAGGCAGCCATCCAGCAGTGTGTTATACCTCAGATCACCGGTCCATACCACTAGCACCAATGGCACCAATGGCACCAATAGAATCTCGCCGGGCGGCACCACCTCGTCGGGAACCTCCGGCCCCTTCTGCAGCTTCTCGAAGATGGAGAAGGCGGACTGCATGTCCCCGGTGTTGCAGAAGCCCTCAACAGCTCAGCCGGAACCGAAGCAAGTGGAGCTCAACGAGCAGGCCTTGATCATGGTGCTGTAGGTGATCAAGTTGGGTTCCAAGCCTACGCTCTGCATCCGGGACAGAAGCTCGGGCACCTATGCAGCAGTGGAGAGATGTTCTTTCTTTTTTGCATCCCGAACCCCAACATCCCCAACCTTGCTCATCTCCTCGTTGCGGACACAGCCATCCAAGATTGCGTTGAAAGTCATGAGGGTTGGAGCAATTCCTCGGGGTAAGCAGTTGCGGTTCAAGCATACGGCTACACCCATGCATGCGGCATGCCACCAAGAAGCCATGCTTCTTCATCTCTTCAAAGGCATCCCACACACGATCCATGCGCTTCTTCCGGCTGAAGCCCTTCAGGATAGATCCATAGATCACGGCGTTGACCTGCGAAAACGGAGCCTCTCGCCATGGAATGCTTTGCGGACGGACGGCACACGGACACGAGGCGTCCTTCGAACTCGCACGAGGCCTTGAAACTTTATGAAATCCCATCAGCTCCGGCACTCGCTCGTTTTGGCCTGGGACTTGGTCTCCGGGTCTTCAAGGAGCCGCTGGATCAGCTCGTGTGCACCGTCCACGTCGCCGTTGCTGGCCACGGCCTGTCGAACGGGGAACGTACTCTCGTACTCTCGACTCATGTGCAAATCGTTTAAGCAGAAATCGGATGAGAGAGAAGCCGCACCTCCACCAAGCATCCAAGCGTGATGTTGGTTGGCCTTGGTTCGCGCAAAGGATCTCACGGAAAAGGGGCGAAAAGGGGTGCTCACGTCTCTGTCTGCGGCATGGCCCGACTGCACCACTCAGCTCTGTGCTTGAGGTGCTGCACGGACATCTCCTTCCAGCAATTCCAGGCGCCCGCCACATCCTTCACAAAGCCATAGGCCTGGCTCGCGCGACAGCTCCAGCGTCTCAAGGCTTTCAGCACAAGCTTGCGAGGTCTGAGTGACAGCTGATGGCGCGCAAATGGCAATTCCGTCAACCGTGCAGGAAGCCCGACTGAAGCCCGGCAAGAATCCGAAAGGAAAAAAGGCGTCGATCTTCAATCTTCGGGGCCTTGATAAGGGAGCCAAAGCTGTGGGCCCCGGTGATCTTCACGGGGAACTCGGCTTGGTCCCCGTGGAAGGTCTTCAGCTTCTTCTGCAGCACCTGCGCCTTGCCCACCCGCACACCGGCTTCCAGCACCGTGCACAGCAGGCCCTCGTCCACCTCGAGACCAAAACCACCCAAGAATTGCCGGGGCAAGCAATCCAGCTTGATTGGACAATTGCCTATGGGGCCTACCCTTGGTTTCAGAAATCCTTGCTTCGGAGACAACCTGCACTTTAAGAACTAACATGCGTTTCAGCTTGAGAAGTGATGGTTCGACAACTAGTCCTCGCAAACAATACATGATAGTGCTACGTAGGGCAAGTCTGCTTGTCACTGAAACGAGTTTGGGGCTTGGGAAATGATGGTTCGACAACTTGTCCTCGCAAACAATACTCGATACTCCTACGGCAAGTCTTTTTGTCTATGTCTGGTGTGATTCCTCAGAAGCTGTTGCTAAGGCAGGGCAACCTTTCCGAAACTTCTCCGAAACTGGACTTCTTGGTCTGAAGGTCAAGTTGCCCATGTGTGACAGGTCTGTGGCGGGAGGACAAGCCCCGAAGTCCCATGGCGACTCAAGCGACTCAACATCGACCTGGTGCTGGATTGAGTCCACCAGCTGCATGGCGCGGTTGATCTCGGAGCTATGGGATTTCGGCCTGGCCAACGGGACACGCGCGCCTCTCTTGCCAGAGCCCGGCTCTGATCTTGACACCGAAGACGTCAAAGGATCATACAAGGATCAACCAGCAATATTGCATGCCTCAAACTCCGCAGCAGATTTGACACCATGGGCTTGTTGGGCAACACGTCGTCCTCCTTCATCTCCTGCGCTCGGGCTGCATAGTTGCCATGGCTGCAAAGTTCTTGTTTGCTCCGAGGCACGTTGACGAGCTCCCAGGCACGCGTCCTGTAAGAGGAAAACTTCTGAGAATCTGAAGTCACGGCCTGTCCGCACCTGTTGATTTCCTTGCCGGTCTTGAGCAGGCCGCTGATGAGCTCGTGGTAGGTCACGGTGTTGGGCATGGCTGCCGGATCCTGGCCTCAGCTCCAGCTCACTACTCTGAGGCCGCTGCAGAGCAAAGGAGACTCTAAGGCCTGGACGCATGGTCAGCAGAAGCGCACTGGCTTGGTCAAAGAGATTGTGCCGCACATATGCCTTGATCAAGGTGTTGTAGGACACCACGTCCATGACCTAAGGCAACCAAGGCAACCAAGGCAACCAAGGCAACTACAGGAAGGTAATCTTCACACAAAGGTTCAAATTTCTCTAGCTGAGGAGCGCCGGCGTCCTTCATGCGCTTGGCGAGCTGCTTGGCCTTCTCCAGCTCCCCGTTCTCCACGCAGGTGTCCAAGGCGATGTTCCAAGCTGTGCCCGGCAGCTTGGCGGGCCCCTCCAGCCTCGGATTCGCCCATTCGATCCCCAAGGCAATCGAGCCAAGATGAGCCAAGTGTGCGGCAGGCTCAGGACGCTGTCGATGTCGTTCTTCTTGCCTCGGAGTCGGCAAGTGCCGATCCCAACATCTTTCAGTCCGAAAACACGCAGTGTAGATCGCTGACTATCGCCTCTTGCCTGCTCGGCTGCAACAGCAAGCTTCGTTGCTGGCTTACTTCTGCACATTTGGCTGATCGTGTGCGCATGGCGCACCCATGCTCAGCTCACTCTCCTGCTCGCGCATGGGTGCATGCGTGCATGGTGCATGCATGCGTGCATGCATGCATGTGTGCGTGCCCATGCGGTGTAGGCGTAGGCGTAGGCGTAGGCGTAGGTGTAGGTGTAGGAGTAGGTGTGTAGGTGTAGGTGTAGGTGTAGGTGTAGGTGTAGGTGTAGGTGTAGGTGTAGGTGTAGGTGTAGGTGTAGGTGTAGGTGTAGGTGTAGGTGTACGTGCGTGCGTGCGTGCGTGCGTGCGTGCGCGGGTGTGTGTGTGTGTGTGTGTGTGTGTGTGTGTGTGTGTGTGTGTGTGTGTATGTGTGTGTGTGTGTGTGTGTGTGTGTGTTTGTGCGTGTGTTTGTGCGTGTGCGTGTGTGATTGTGTCTGTGTCTGTGTCTGTGTCTGTGTGTGCTTGTGTTTGTCCTTGTGTTTTTGTGTTTGTGTTGTGTTGATGTTGGCTGTGTCTGTGTCTGTCGGGTGTCTGTGTGTGTGTGTGCGTGTGTGTCTGAGTCAGTGTGTGTGTGTGTGTGCGCGTGGGTGTCTGACAGCGTTTTTGTGTGTGTGCCTGTGTCTGAATGTGTGTGTGTGTGTGTCGGGGTGTGTGTGTGTGTCTGTGTCTGTGTCTGTGTCTGTGTGTGTGTGTGCGTGTGCGAGTGTGTGTGTGTGTCTCTGAGTGCTCGCTCGTGTGTGTGTGTGTGCGTGCTTTCGTGTGTGTGAGCGTGTCTGAGTGTGTGTGTGTGTGTGTCTGTGTGTGTCTGTCTGTGTGTGGGTGTCTCCGTGTGGGCCGGTGTCTGTGTGTGCGTGTGTTTGTGTGTGTGTCTGCGCGTGCGTGTGGGTGTGGGTGTCTGTCTGAGTGTGTCTGTGTGGGTGTTTGCGTGTCTGAGCGTGTGTGTGTGTGTGTTTGTGCGTGCGTTTGTGCGTGTGTGTGTGTGTGTGTGTGATTGTGTCTGTGTCTGTGTCTGTGTCTGTGTGTGCCTGTGTTTGTCCTGGTGTTTTTGTGTTTGTGTTGTGTTGATGTTGGCTGTGTCTGAGTCTGTCGGGTGTCTGTGTGTGTGTGCGTGTGTGTCTGAGTCAGTGTGTGTGTGTGTGCGCGTGGGTGTCTGACAGCGTTTTTGTGTGTGTGTGTCTGTGTCGGGGTGTGTGTGTGTGTGTCTGTGTCTGTGTCTGTGTCTGTGTGTGTGCGTGTGCGAGTGTGTGTGTGTGTGTCTCTGAGTGCTCGCTCGTGTGTGTGTGTGTGCGTGCGTGCTTTCGTGTGTGTGTGTGTCTGAGTGTGTCTGAGTGTGTCTGAGTGTGTGTGTGTGTCTGTGTGTGTCTGTCTGTGTGTGGGTGTCTCCGTGTGGGCCGGTGTCTGTGTGTGCGTGTGTTTGTGTGTGTGTGTCTGCGCGTGCGTGTGGGTGTGGGTGTCTGTCTGAGTGTGTCTGTGTGGGTGTTTGCGTGTCTGAGCGTGTGTGTGTGTGTGGTGTGTGTGGTGTGGTGGTGGTGGTGGTGGTGGGTGGGTGTGTGTGTGTGTGTGTGTGCTGAAGGGAAGACAGCCACCTCTTCATAGCTACGTTTCACCCTCCCTCCTCGCCTTCGTCGTCCGCGTGTCCGTCGTCTTGCTCTTCGCCCGTTTAGGGATGGCTTCTCCTTCCTCCCGTTCCTTCTTCCGGCCTTCCGTCTTCCGCGTGTTGCTGTTCTTCTTCTTGGCCCGTTTAGGGATGGCTTCTTCTCCGCCGCTTTGTTTGCCTTTTTCGTCGTCGTCCTCTTCTTGTTTGCCTATTTGTTCGTGGTCCTCGGTCCCCTCGCGCTGTTTGGCTTGCCGTCTTCGTTCCCTACCGTTGCTTCATCGTGCTCTTCCTCATGGCCCCTCTGCGGGATTCGACGCCCTCTTCCTCGAGCATTGGCTTTGTCCTCGTGTTTCTCTGGGCGGGATGCGTCGCCTTAAATACGCACACTTACTTTCTTTCTTTCTTTCTTTCTTTCTTTCTTTTTCTTTCTTTCTTTCTTTCTTTCTTTCTTCTTTCTTTCCCTCTTTCCCTCCTTCTCCCCTTCTCTCGTTTCCTTCCCTTTTCTCCTGTTCCCTTCTCCTTCTCTCCTCCTCCTCTCTCTTCGTTTTTCCTTCTTCCCGGGCGGGATGCGGCGCCCTAAATACGCACCCTGCTCCTTTCTTTTTCCCCCCGGGCGGTTGCGACGCCCTAAATACGCTCTCTCTCTCTCTCTCTCTCTCTCTCTCTCTCTCTTTCGTTCTTTCTTTCGTTCCTTCTTTCTTTCTTTCTTTCTCTCTTTCTCTCTTCCTTTCTTTCGTTTCCTCCCCCCCCCCCCTTTTTCCAACTACCTCCTGTTCTTCCTCTTCGCCCGTTTAGGGATGGCCTGGTCCTCTTCTCGGTCTTCAACTTTGCGGTGGTGGTCGTCTTCCAGGTTTAGGAGGGTTTCTGGGCCGTTTGGGGTTTTTGCCCTCGGCGGTGACCCTAAAACTCGGGTTCCCCTGTTTTTCGTGTTTCTTGGTTGGGGTTTTGCCCGCGGTGACCCAACGTGGGGCTTTCTGTTTCTTTTGGGCGCTTGCTCCGTTTGTTTTCTGTTGGGGTCTTCGTCCGTCTTTCGGGCGCTTCTTCTCCCCCCCGAAAAAGTGTTTCTCGCCCCTCTTTGAGGGGCGTGTGTGTGCGGAGTGGCAGAATACCCTGCCACCACACAATCCTTTTTTCACGACAGCAGGGGGCTGGAGCCGGCCCGGGGGGTCTCCAGCCAACGAAGACGCCCCCCGGTGTCCGGGTCCAAACGTACCTGCGGGGCTGCGCCTGGGCCGTTGTCATGGCAGCTGGCGGGCCCACCCCAAACAAAGGTCCCCTTTTTGCCCTTTTCTCCAAAACCAGCTGAACCCCAGCGTACTCGAGACTCCCCAGCTGTACTCGAACGATGAGAGACTCATCAGTTGTACTCGAGACTCATCAGTTGTACTCGAAAGGATTAGCACCCTCCATCTGGAGTTTAATGTGTGTGTGTGTGTGTGTGTGTGTGTGTGTGTGTGTGTGTGTGTGTGTGTGTGTGTGTGTGTGTGTGTGTGTGTGTGTGTGTGTGTGTGTGTGTGTGTGTGTGTGTGTGTGTGTGTGTGTGTGTGTGTGTGTGTGTGTGTGTGTGTGTGTGTGTGTGTGTGTGTGTGTGTGTGTGTGTGTGTGTGTGTGTGTGTGTGTGTGTGTGTGTGTGTGTGTGTGTGTGTGTGTGTGTGTGTGTGTGTGTGTGTGTGTGTTTGTGTCTGTCGGTGTGAGTGTCTGTGGGTGTGTATGTGTGTGTGTGTGTGCGTCTGTGTGCGCGTGTGTGTGTGGGTGTCTGAGTGCGTGTGTGGGTGGGTCAGTCTGAGTGTGTGCGTGTTTCGGTGTATCTGCACACCGTACTTGTGTGTGGGTGCGCCTGCTTCTGTGTGTGTTTCTGTACACTCTACTTGTGTGTGCGCGTGTGCGTGTATGCGTCTATTTGTGTGTCTATTTGTGTCTGTGGCTTTGTATGTGTCTGCGTATGTGCCGCGTATGTGCTTGTGTTTTTAGTGCTTGTGTTGCTTTACTGTGCTTTTGCCCTTCTGTCTGTGTCTGTGTGTTTGTCTTTGTTTGTGTTCTGATATTTGTGTGTCTGTCTTGTTGTTTACATGTTCGTGCTTGTGCTGTTGCGCCATCTGCACTTCTTCACGTCTTCTGTTGCGCTAGCGCGCTCGAATGCCTGATACACCTTCGCAAGCCAAGCCCACCGTGGCAATCCCAGATCCATCCGTGGTGCCGCTCAGCATGGCCACACCTGCGACATAACAGAATTCGTCGTGGGAAGCCAGCCCTTCCAGGCCTCGGGATGGATCCACTTCCTGGAGCTCCACCGAAATGTCCTGCGCAGTGACTGGGTCATCTCGGGAAGAAAACACCTGGCTCCCGATAACTCACGAGCAACACCTTGCCACGTCAGCCCTTCGGCCACTCCTCTCGGTTGCAGGCCCTCGATGCTGCCAGCAAGCAGTGCTTGGTCCGCGCATCGATGGGCAGCCGGCGCCGCCTCGATTTATTGGAAAGCACCCAGCGGTTCCAGCGCCATACTCATGTCTGAAGCGGCTTCGAGCTGTTGATTCGCTTGCAGTCTTCCGGTTCTCTCGCATCTGTGTATCTCTTGTTCAATTGTGTCTTCATTCTCTCATGACCATTGCTTTTCCATGGTTCGTCTTGGAGACAAACCGTTGAAGCGGAGGATGGTAGACGTAAGAAAGAGATGGTGGGAATAAATGATTCAACATATGATGGCTCTCACCTCACAAACAAGAGACACAGATGTAAGCGAAATGATGACAGAGAAACAGAAAAATATAGATAATTAAAGTGCATGACTTAGTTGCATTTCAAGGAGAGATACCATTCAAACAAAGGGGAAATGCTAGAAAAAAGGAAGGACTCTAGTTGAAAAGTACTCTGGATGTCTGGCAAATGATGATGTCCTTCATATACCGTCTTCAAGGCATTTGTTGCTGAACCATGGAGGACTTTTCCAACCGCAGCCATTTCCCCCGTTCTATGTGGTGTACCCGTTACAACTCGGAAAAAAAGAATCCACTTCCCAGATTGTAAGTACAAATTGACAAAGTTTCTGCGGATTTCTGTGCAGAGCGGCTCTTTGTCGCCTTCGACCTGGCAGCAAGATAGCATGCGTTTTCGCTAAGCGCGCCATTTGCCATCCCTTGCCTTTACCAGGCTGTCGTAGAGCGCCAGGGCCTTCTCGGGCGCGGAGGCCTCCGTGTAGAACCGGATCAGTGCCATGAAGGCCGGGGCCTGGCGCTCGAGCATGGCCCCACAGGTCCACAGGTCCACAGAGGCAGACATACCACAGGTACCGGCCACGTTGCCTGGCTGGCTTCGTTGGGGTTCAGCATCTCTGACAAGCTCTCCTTGGTTTCCAGTGGCTTCCAGAGTTTACGGAGTGAAAACTGGCTCCCTCACAAGCTTCACACCCTCAGTTGGTCCCTCGGTTTCTCTCCCGTTTTCAGCCCGCGCTTGTTGTTTTGATCCGGGGCGCGGCCAGCTTCACGTCGCGCATCTTGGCGCATGCTTCGAGCACCGCGTGCGACACCACGGCATCCACACCTCACGCACCCCGCACGCACGAAGCCAACGTCTCCTGGCATCTTCTAAATATGAATAGGTTGTGGGATGTTGCGGGGCGAGATGGTCTAACTGGCACCGGGCGCATGAATGGCGGTTTTGCCTCTAGCAGTCAAATATCAGCCAACGGCCCAATGTTCATAGCCATCCCCAAAGCCGAACCTGGATAGTGACCTCTCCCCGGCCTGACGCGCCGACCTCTTTCAGCAGGCGCCGGATCTCAGCGGAGTCGTTCTCGGAGCGTACCAACAAACTGTAGGTACCTCGTTCACCAAAGTCACAAGCAAATTATGAGGTCCGCTGTCTCTGGCTGCGCTAGGACTCGGATCGAGGATCCCTTCGAACATTGCCTGGTCTGCATGGAAGAAACCATCCCTCTGGTTATTAATGTTTGCGTCAAAACCGAAAGAAACCTGAAACGTTTTGGTCAAGACCGGCACCCTTCGCTTCTGCTTTGCCATTTGGAGGGTCCCATTGGACAGCCAGACATGTCTCAATGGCCCAGGTGCGGCTGTTCTTCTCCACCTTCTGCTGACCAGCGAGCTCCAAGGCCTCTCGCCCGCACCGCAAAAATGCCAAGAGGCCAAGCAATCCAGGAGACGTGCACAAAAAGCATGCCTATGCATGCCTAGAATCTTAGAATGCAAGTTGTATACATATATCACACAGTTGATGTATCGACAACATATGAGGTATACATGCATGCAAACAGCTCTTGTAGGTTAGTGCTCAAAGTTCCTGTAATACTGCCCCGTAGCCTATAGCAACTTTCCCTTTTCAAGGACAAGGCCAGTTCGTGTGGTACAAGCCTTGCTGAGTGTTTGCAGGATTCGAATTTGATGCCTGGCAGGACCGCACAAACCGTCACGACCATCGACAGTACTGGCGGCAAGGCTGCCGTGGGTTCGTGGGTGCGTGGGTGGGTGCGTGCGTGGGTGCGTGCGTGGGTGGGTGGGTGCGTGGGTGCGTGGGTGGGTGCGTGCGTGGGTGCGTGCGTGGGTGGGTGGGTGCGGCGCGTGCGGGCGTGCATGGGTGCGGGCGTGGGTGCGGGCGTGGGTGCGTGGGTGCGTGGGTGCGTGGGTGCGTGGGTGCGGGCGTGGGTGCGTGGGTGCGTGGGTGCGTGGGTGCATGGGTGGGTGGGTGGGTGGGTGGGTGGGTGGGTGGGTGGGTGGGTGGGTGGGTGGGTGGGTGGGTGGGTGGGTGGGTGGGTGGGTGGGTGCGTGGGTGGGTGGGTGCGTGGGTGCGGTGCGTGCGGGCGTGCATGGGTGCGGGCGTGGGTGCGTGGGTGCGTGGGTGCGTGGGTGAGGGCGTGGGTGCGTGGATGCGTGGGTGGGTGCGTGCGCGGGTGGGTGGGTGCGTGGGTGCATGGGTGGGTGGGTGGGTGGGTGCGTGTGTGGGTGGGTGGGTTCGTGGGTGCGTGGGTGCGGTGCGTGCGGGCGTGCATGGGTGCGGGCGTGGGTGTGGGCGTGGGTGCGTGGGTGCGTGGGTGCGGGCGTGGGTGCGTGGGTGCGTGGGTGCGTGGGTGCATGGGTGGGTGGGTGGGTGGGTGGGTGCGTGCGTGGGTGGGTGGGTGCGTGGGTGCGTGGGTGCGGTGCGTGCGGGCGTGCGTGGGTGCGGGCGTGGGTGCGGGCGTGGGTGCGTGGGTGCGTGGGTGCGTGGGTGCGGGCGTGGGTGCGTGGGTGCGTGGGTGCATGGGTGGGTGGGTGGGTGCGTGCGAGGGTGGGTGGGTGCGTGGGTGTGTGGGTGCGGTGCGTGCGGGCGTGCATGGGTGCGGGCGTGGGTGCGTGGGTGCGTGGGTGCGGGCGTGGGTGCGTGGGTGCGTGGGTGCGTGGGTGGGTGCGTGCGTGGGGGTGGGTGGGTGCGTGGGTGCGACGCATGCGGGCGTGCATGGTGCGGGCGTGGGTGCGGGCGTGGGTGCGTGGGTGCATGGGCGCGTGGGTGGCGTGGGTGCGTGGGTGCATGGGTGCGTGCGTGGGTGGGTGGGTGTGCGTGGGTGCATGGTGCGGGTGGGTGGGTGGGTGGGTGCGTGCGTGGGTGGGTGGGTGCGTGGGTGTGGGTGCGGTGCGTGCGGGCGTGCATGGGTGCGGGCGTGGGTGCAGGGTGCGGGCGTGTGCGCATGGGTGCGGGCGTGGGTGCGTGGGTGCGTGGTGCGTGGGTGCGTGGGTGCGTGCGTGCGTGCGTGCGGGCGTGCGTGGGTGCGTGCGTGCGGGTGCGTGGGTGCGCGGTGCGTGCGGGCGTGCATGGTGTGGTGGTGGGTGGGGTGCGGGTGCGGGTGCGGGCGTGTGGGTGCGTGCGTGTTGGGTGGGTGCGTGGTGCGTGGGTGCGGTGCGTGCTGTGCGTGCGGGCGTGCATGGGTGCGGGCGGGTGCGTGGGTGCGTGGGTGCGTGTTGGGTGCGTGGGTGCGGTGCGTGCGGGCGTGGCGTGCGTGCGTGCGTGGGTGCGTGGGTGCGGTGCGTGCGGGCGTGCATGGGTGCGGGGTGCGTGGGTGCGTGGGTGCGTGCGTGGGTGCGTGGGTGCGTGGGTGCGGTGCGTGCTGTGCGTGCGGGCGTGCATGGGTGCGGGCGTGGGTGCGGGCGTGGGTGCGTGGGTGCGTGGGTGCGGTGCGTGCGGGCGTGCATGAGTGCGTGCGTGCGTGGGTGCGTGGGTGCGGTGCGTGCGGGCGTGCATGGGTGCGGGCGTGGGTGCGTGGGTGCGTGGGTGCGTGCGTGGGTGCGTGGGTGCGTGGGTGCGGTGCGTGCGGGCGTGCATGGGTGCGGGCGTGGGTGCGTGGGTGCGGTGTGTGCGGGCGTGCATGGGTGCGTGCGTGCGTGCGTGGGTGCGGTGCGTGCGGGCGTGCATGGGTGCGGGCGTGGGTGCGGGCGTGGGTGCGTGGGTGCGTGGGTGCGTGGGTGCGTGGGTGGGTGCGTGCGTGGGTGCGCGCGTGGGTGCGTGGGTGCGTGGGTGCGTGGGTGCGGGCGTGGGTGCGTGGGTGCGTGGGTGCGTGGGTGGGTGCGTGCGTGGGTGCGCGCGTGGGTGGGTGGGTGCGTGGGTGCGTGGGTGCGATGCGTGCGGGCCTGCGTGGGTTGGGTGCGTGGGTGCGTGGGTGCGTGGGTGCGTGGGTGCGTGGGTGCGTGGGTGCATGGGTGGGTGGGTGGGTGGGTGCGTGCGTGGGTGGGTGGGTGCGTGGGTGCGTGGGTGCGGTGCGTGCGGGCGTGCATGGGTGCGGGCGTGGGTGCGGGCGCGTGGGTGCGGGCGTGGGTGCGCATGGGTGCGGGCGTGGGTGCGTGGGTGCGTGGGTGCGTGGGTGCGTGGGTGCGGTGCGTGCGGGCGTGCGTGGGTGCGTGCGTGCGTGCGTGCGTGGGTGCGTGCGTGGGTGCGTGGGTGCGGTGCGTGCGGGCGTGCATGGGTGCGGGCGTGGGTGCGGGCGTGGGTGTGCGCGGGTGCGGTCCGTGCGGGCGTGCATGGGTGCGTGCGTGCGTGCGTGCGTGCGTGGGTGCGTGGGTGCGTGGGTGCGGTGCGTGCTGTGCGTGCGGGCGTGCATGGGTGCGGGCGTGGGTGCGGGCGTGGGTGCGTGGGTGCGTGGGTGCGGTGCGTGCGGGCGTGCATGAGTGCGTGCGTGCGTGGGTGCGTGGGTGCGGTGCGTGCGGGCGTGCATGGGTGCGGGCGTGGGTGCGTGGGTGCGTGGGTGCGTGCGTGGGTGCGTGGGTGCGTGGGTGCGGTGCGTGCGGGCGTGCATGGGTGCGGGCGTGGGTGCGGGCGTGGGTGCGTGGGTGGGTGCGTGGGTGCGGTGCGTGCGGGCGTGCGTGGGTGCGGGCGTGGGTGCGGGCGTGGGTGCGGGCGTGGGTGCGTGGGTGCGTGGGTGCGTGGGTGGGTGGGTGGGTGGGTGCGTGCGTGCGTGCGTGGGTGCGTGCGTGGGTGCGTGGGTGCGGTGCGTGCGGGCGTGCATGGGTGCGGGCGTGGGTGCGTGGGTGCGGTGTGTGCGGGCGTGCATGGGTGCGTGCGTGCGTGCGTGGGTGCGGTGCGTGCGGGCGTGCATGGGTGCGGGCGTGGGTGCGGGCGTGGGTGCGTGGGTGCGTGGGTGGGTGGGTGGGTGCTTGTGCGTGCGTGCGTGCGTGGGTGCGTGGGTGCGTGGGTGTGTGCGGTGCGTGGGTGCGTGTGTGTGCGTGGGTGCGTGCGGGCGTGGGTGCGGGCGTGGGTGCGTGGGTGCGTGGGTGCGTGGGTGCGTGGGTGCGTGGGTGCGTGGGTGCGTGGGTGCGCGCGTGCTTGGGTGCGTGCGTGCGTGGGTGTGTGGGTGCGTGGGTGCGTGGGTGCGTGGGTGCGTGGGTGCGTGGGTGCGTGGGTGCGTGGGTGTGTGTGTGTGTGTGTGGGTGTGTGTGTGTATGTGTGTGTGAATGTGTGTGTGTGTGAATGTGTGTGTGAATGTGTGTGTGTGTGTGTGAATGTGTGCGTGTGCGTGTGCGTGTGTGTATGTGTGTATGTGTGTGTGTGTGTGTGTGTGTGTGTGTGTGTGTGTGTGTGTGTGTGTGTGTGTGTGTGTGTGTGTCTGTGTGTGTGTCTGTGTGTGTGTCTGTGTGTGTGTCTGTGTGTGTGTCTGACAGTGTCTGTGTGTGTCTGTGTGTGTCTGTGTGTCTGTGTGGGTGTGTGTGTGTGCATGTGTGTGCGCATGTGCGTGTGCGTGTGCATGTGTAAGCTATGCCGCTTTGCCTGTCCGGGAAACTGGTTCTGGCACAAAAGCTGAAACATGGCGAGTTGGTGTTGCACCCCTGCAGGAGCTGCCGCTAACAAGTTGCCAAAATCGCCAAGGACGGGCGGTTCTGCCCGATTTGCCAACCCCGGGCGATGGAAATGTGTCTCTCCTGGGGAGAGCGGCACTCCAAGTGCTGCTTCATACTGATCATATTGGTCATACTGGGCATGCGATCCCGATGTTTGGCTCTTCAGCAAGGCTCGCACAGTTGCAGCCACTGGGCTTCGCGTTTGAAGCGCAGGCTCGGTTTGCCAGTTGATGTGCCAAAATGGATAAAGGGAGTGAATGAAGGCTAATTTCCTTGCCCTTTTCCTTTTCCTCTCTGAATCTCTTCTTCAAGTTCTTCCAGTCCCATTCGGGAAGCGACATGCGTTGGACAGAATGGGATGACGCAGGGAAAGGTACTCATTAGCGAGCTCTTGGACATCTTATCCATCCATCATTTTTTGCCAATATAAATCTCTCCAAGGTATCCACCGCAAGCCGATTATTAATAGACATGTCTTAGAGAAGAGCTTCCTTGACGGGCAACCAACATGAAAAGGTCAGGAAGGAATACATGATTGTAGATTGCACAGTCAATAGGTAAGATCCCAAATGCACCACCCATCAATTATGTTTCTTGTTTACTTTTGATTGCTCATGAAGTCAACCGCTTGGAACTAGAAATCCAGGTACTTCATCACTTTATCTTTGCCAAGCTTCTCGAGTTGACGTTAGGTTGGTTACCTTATAAATCTATTCCTCTCACACCGTCATTTGGTAGCTTGGAAAGCCTGAAATGACTCCTTGAAATCTCCCAATCCAAAATCGTACAATGGGTCCCCCGTTTTGGGCCTCACCGTCCCACCGGCCTTCTTCGCCAGCTCGGGTTGGGCACTGCGGAGGGACTCGTTCAGCATGAGGTTGAGGGAGTCCGTCTTGCCAAGTCCACAGCAAAGTCCAGATTCCGATTGTGAAAGCACGGAACCCAGACCTTCAAGAACAACTGGTTGCTATGGGAAGGTGTTGGAAGTTCCCCTCAGCCAGGGTGCTGTCATGGGAATGCGCCCGGTCTCCAGCTTCGGAAGCACCTCCTCCATGCGCCTGAGCAAAACGAATATCCGACTTCGCACAGGGTTCATTCATGTTCATTCCAAGTGGAAATTGGTGGTTTTGCAAGGGCGTTTGGCTTCTGCCTCTCCCGACAGGCGATCTCCACCAGCTGCGTGCCCACGTGCTTGGGCAGGTCACAAGGCAGCTCGCAATAGCACTGCAGCGCGTCACCTCGCGTCACGACTTGAGGGCGGCTGGTGGTCAAGGTGAACCTTCCAAATCATTGAAATTGAGCATCTTGTGCCTGACATATGCCAAGCCTGTTCCGAGCCTTACTACTCTCGGGGCAGCCCCCGCAAAACTCCGCTTTTTCAAGATGTTCTCCTCTCCCGGGCATTGGCATTGCCGCTCGCAAGGCTCGAAACGCTCCCATACAATTACCCGCTAGTCTGGCTCTGAACCCCCAGGTCTCACAAAACATCGGCGCTGTTGGTAGAAGCTTGAGATTGAGGGACACAATGAGAGCGAGTTGTCAAGCGAAGAAGCCGCTACACGAAGGTAGATTGCTGGCAACATTGGTGTTTGTGTAGGCATTCCGGTGGCTTCGCGTACGTTTGAGGGCTGGGTTTCATGATGGTCCGCACAGGCTCCGCGAAATGTGCAGATGCTCACTGGTTGTATGATGCAGTTCAACTTTGTTCGTGACACGCATTCCAAGAGGCCACACAAGTTCATGGCCAAGATGCTGAGGCAGCCCTCCTGGGAAGTTTCGAGCAAAATTACGCAACCAACTTGGGAACCTCCCAAGCAGGCCATTGCGATAGCATGTGCTGCCAAAATACCAGAAACGTGACCGGGCCACGATCACAGCTTAAAGCGGGGCGGAGGAGGGAAGTGGGCAAACTCGTCCTGCAGGAAGGTCTTCAGCATCACCAGGGTGGTTCTCTGGGTCGCATGCAGGCCGATCTGGCGCATCTGCTTCGCCAAATCCTTCACCTCGACCCGCAGCCGCAAGACCCATACGACCCACAAAAAGTGACCCGAAGCACAGCACCTCCTCGAAGCTGCGAGTTGCGAAGTGCAGGTGCATGAGAATCTCATAGGTCCTGCCATTTGAGCAGTGGTTTTTTGCTGGTTCGGGGCCTATACACTCCTTGCATGCCTACACGGAAGCCTCCGCAAGCCTACGCCGCTGCAAAGGGTGCCTACGCGAGCACAAGTCAGCTTCCAGGTGCCTACGCGGACGCCTACGCGGCAGATGTTCAGTTCAAGCGTTGAAGTGCAGTTTGGCAGCTCCAGCTGGAAAATCGCAACTTTTCAGCACAAGCTCTAAGATCGCCTTTGCAGCACAATTGAGAACCCACATCTGTCCAAGGATCTGGCTGCTAGAAAAGGCCCTGCGTACTCAAAATGCCTTGAAAGCCTACGCGGCTGCCTACGCTGGGCCTACGCGCAGCCTACGCAAAGACTGCAGAACAAACGGAAGGAAGGCAAAAAGAAGCTAACTTCTTTATACTTGGCAAAGAGCATCGAGCCATGAGTTGCTCAACCACCTACGCGAAAGCCTACAAGAGGGTGGACACAACAGCCTACGCGCAGAAGCCTACGCGAGCCTACGCCCCCAACCACGATTGCCGCCGCGAAGTACATGCAGTTCCCTTTTTGTATAAACCCTTTCGTTTGATTAAAAACCGCTGCTCATTTGAGGCAGGCGTCCTACGGTGCAGATGCCACGCCCAACAGTCCTGCTGTTTGCTTCCACGCCAACCTTCGAGAAAACGGTGAGCCTTGGCGCGCTCTTGACATTGCCGGACCTTGTGTGCCTCATCCCAGTTTCTCGGCTCGGGCGGCAGCAAATTGGTGATGAGGCCGGCATCCAATGACTTGGTGAGTGGAGTCAGAAGGTCCTCGGAAGCATAAAACTCTCACCTCCCCTCCAAATCAAAGGAAGCTCTCCCCCTAAGGGCTTTGCCTCCTGAACTGCCAGTCAACACATCGGAATCCAAAGTACGGCTGCAACGACCGGCAACGGCCGGAAACGGCAAGCAACAGCCGAGGCTCGTTCATGTAGTCCACGCTCTGTGCCGCGTCGCTCTTCAGCACGAGGCCCTTGACCTCCGCCAGGATGAAGCTCCGGTCCTTCCTGAGGCGCTGCATGGACTCCACCACCTCGCGCCGCGAGGCGAGGGCATGCGAGGGCGAGGGCAAAGCCCAAAGCCAGGATGGATCAAACTGAGAAGACTCAACCCCGACACGGCTTCCCACGCCTGCACCAAAGTCTCTGCTGGGACCTCAGGTTGGTGGCCAGATGTGGCCTAGGACGGTCCACCCAGCGCGTTTCAATCCCAAATGCTGGCGAGGCGCATCGCCGGCCCTCTGCAGGGTGCCCCACTTGCGAAGAACTGTGCGGTGGTCTCCCTGCTCGAAGGCGGCATGAGTTGCCTAAAGAGGGAAGTCATGTCTGAGACAAGTCTGGAGCAGCGTGAAGCGGCTTTGGTGACTTTGGTGGGGCTCTAGCAAGTCATTTTGTTCTCGCTTGGTCGTTAAAACGAGACAAAAAGGCAATAATTACTCTGCGCCCTGAACTTAACTCCCGTGAGAGCAACTTTCACAACGCGCATCACATGACTCAGCATCTTTACTCAAGTAGGAGTTTTAAGAGATCCGAGGAAATGACATGTCTTTCAAATTCTAAGAAAGGACATGTCAACGCAACTCAAGAGCCTTGGCTGCGAATGACTGTTTGGCTATCAAACCTTGAGACTTCCATGGAAAAGACTTCCTTGCGTGAAATTCCACACACCAAAGGATTGAATAAAACATAAACGCATTCCCAAAATGTCCCAGGGCTCCTCCAGGATGTTCTCAATCTCCTGGCTTGATGGACTCGAGTCGATCTTCTTGGCCTGGCTCAAAGCAAGGGAATCTGTGGAATCTGTGGACCTGTGATCCAGTTTGAAAGAATCTCAACACGCCACGCGCAACACAAGTCGCTGCCTTTCCCTTGCCTCGCTTCTTCCACGGCCAAAGCACCTGCAAGCCCAAACGTCTTGGCTAGCTCCAGTAAAACCACGTCACTTGACAGAGCTGGATGCTTAAGCCGTCGGCGTTGCCGAACAGGAAGAATTGGAGCAGGAACGCCCCACCGAAGAGCAGCAACTGGCGCGCACAGCAAAGAATCAGGTAGCCACTTTGGATATCTGGATGCTCAAAAAGTCCTTCTCTCTCTCACGATTGGACGGCCTCCGCACTGAAATTCGTCAGCACAGCCTGCGCCTGTGGCAAAGCTCACGTGGCCGAGGTTTGCGTCGGTAACTGTGCCACCTGTTCCATGAGGTCCGACATCGCTGCAGTTGGGCAATGGATTTCCTGGGCTCTCAATGCTGATGTGAGAGCCAAGACTCTCTGGATTGCAGCCGAACGACTGCAAATCAAATGAAGGGTCCTGGCGCAGCTTCACACAGCCACATGAGCCACATGAGCCACATGTGTGACAAAATGTGACAAATAAACAGGTCCTGGAGCAAAGCTCCGAGCGTTTTGGGGGAAAGTGGCGGCTGGCCGCGCGCCTCGCACACGCTCGGCGACGATTCGATTGGAGTGGCCCATTGGAGCCGAGGTGCAAGCGGGGAAGGTTTGGACCAGCCGGGGCGATAATTGGAGCGATCGTAAGTCGGCGGTAATGCCTTGGACAGTGAACCCCTGGCTGCAAATCAGAAAGGCGCACGCTCTTGCGAGGCTCAAACCTTTTAGAAGGATCAGTAAGCTGCTTCCCAGGTGCACTGAGGTTGATGAGCCCAACAGCGCAAGCAACTAAATTCGAGAAGAACGGCGACAGGGTGGAAGGCGAATCCATGTGTGCACATTGTGTCATGTAAAACACAATCATGCCCATGCATTCACAACGGCACATACATTCTCAGGCATGGTTGCACAGGGTCAGCCCGTCCAAGCTTCGAAGCAATGGCTGGAAAATGCGATGATGACGATCATCCATGCCTGCGCCTTCCCGGCACCACGCTTCCTGTCCGGAAAAGCTCCGGCGCTCGCTCCAAAAAGCATCTCGGTCCTCTTAAGGACCATGGCTCAACCATGGATACATCCTGAAGCTAACGGCTGCGATGGCTCTGATCCGTAAGGGCTTCCGCAACTCGCAAATCCTCCGTAAGGGCTTCCCAAATGACGAAATTCGAAAGCTCACTCTCACGAGACGTTTCTCCCGACAGCCCCTTGGAGGGCCCGCTCCCAAGAGACTTCAGGACAGCGCTTCTTGCGCAGTCCAGGCAAGCGTCGCACAGGTACCGAAACGCAAAGCCGAATACTTCAACAGGCATTCTGTGCATCCACTTTGTGGAACAGGTGAATGCTGAGCACTAGATTCCACTCAGGACTCTTTGCAGAGTCAAGCTCATGGTCAACATAGCAGCTATGCCCAGAGATGTCGCTCTTGCAGTGCTGGTAAATCCGCCACATGGTATTGCTGCTGAGGTCACGTCTGTAAAGCGCACAGACATGGCGTCGCCATAATCGATGCATTCCCCAGCAGCAACACGTGACAAGTCGCCTGCCAAGTTCAGGAATCCAATAATTTCCTGCGAGTGCTGGCCGCTGCAATCCTGCCCAGCGGGGAAGTCTTTACGATTTAGAACGGTGCCCTGGCAATACCAACCAAGAGTTTGAGATGCATGCTGGCAGCACAGTACATCTTGCTGCACGGCACATTCGAACTCTCGCTCACCTGACGAACACCCTGTTCCGCTGTAAGACTTGTAAGTGGCATTT